TATACGTAAAGCCAATTTTTAAGTTAGGATGACAAAAGTCGATTTGTACCAAAATGAAACAAGAAAATATAATCCTAAGCTGGAATAAATACGCAGCATCTACACCAGGACTTTCCATACAAATTGGCATGTACAAGAGCAAGTGGTTTTTACATTTGTCCCCTTTCAAATGACTAACGCTGAGCAAGCAACGTCCAACTAACCAAGTTCATAGAGGGTCATAAAGGTCTCGACCAATTATGAAAAAGTATGTGACGACAATACATAAAACAGTTGCGATTCTAGAACGAATTAATACTCGAATTCAAATACAAAACGAGAACTTCAATGCAAGCTCGTTCTTTGCGCTTAGTAATTGTCGTTGTCGTAATCTGGAGACATCGATCGACATGCTCGTTAACCACTACGTAAAACTTTCTAAAAAGATGTGTCGAAACTGCGTAAAATACGATTCATACGTACTGAGCCGCAGAATGTTATAAATTTTGGCGTTCTAATAAGGGTAGAGCAATTCGAATGTGATAAGAATTACCAATTACTAGCTTTTATAACCCACTGTTAAGGATTAATCAATCAATCAATCAATCAATCAGTTTTTCAATATGACCAGCAATGGCGTTTGCAGAATTACTTAATTTAAAAAAATCAGTATTTCAAGATGGATAAAATATTCATTTTATAGCGATACTGACCGAAATAAATCAAATAGATCCTGAAATAGATGATCACGCCGCAGCGAGCGCTGCATGTTACGCAAGCTCATTATCGGAAATGAACGGTTAACATGATGAATGATCGATCAACAGAAACAGACATTTTAGTTCTTTTTTCACGGATTTTTCAGATTTGCAATACGTCTATCTTGATCGGGCGGTTATTTTTATAAGTTGGAGCGATGTTCATGTGCACCTTTCAATCTATTTTTCTAGGTGTAATAACATGTATTTATGTTAATGCTATAATTAAATAATAAAACGGGTTTATAATTATACACCTAAGAATACAGAAGCTTTAATCATACCAGGCTAGTTAATAACGAGTCTTAGAGCAAAACATAAAACGTCTTTATATGAATTGTATAGGCAACGTTCTTATCAGTTTATCTCTCTCTAATGATCTTCATTTCGCACCATCAATTATCTACACTGCTATGTTACACCCACTGATAATTTCGACGAATTCCTCCAGCTAACAATGTGAAATAAATGCATGCAGTTTTACGAAAATAATGTTGTGGAAAATACAGCGAATTCTCACCATGTCAAAATGGACTCAATTATAAAAAATCAGGCCTGCGCAAGGCTAGGCATTATCCACATTATGCCTTCATTTTCTGTTTCAACTTGTGGGCGCCTCCCATGGCATATGATAAGAAATTAAAATAAAAATTTTATTCCAGTAAAATTGACACTCGAATAGCTGTGACATTGGCGATCATCAAATCATCATCTGAACAAAAAGTCAATGTATATAATCCAATTTCTTACAGTCTTCTGGTAACTGTAACTTTTTCTTTGTATATTTATATTATATTATATTCCCAAGCAGTAGTGCTAGATATAAATGCGCGAAATCTGTATATTACAAAGTTAAATGTTAATCACTTCGAACATAACAAAATAGAAATAAACTCATCCCAAATCTACACAAAGAGGGTGTCCCTAAGCGTGACATAACGCCCTGGTGCCGCATTCTCTCGCTGCGAGCGGTTCTGTGGGAACCCGTTTCCAAAGGCATTCCGTCAATTCGCCTTCGTCTTTTTTTGAACGAATGCCGCCAAAACGACTCGTAAAAACACTTATGTCTGTCGTTCTGCATTCTTCGACGTGTTCGCCGCATCAAAACCGATTGGTGCGTCTAAAAGTGACCAATTTAAAAAAAAACAGAGGTCACCTGTCTCAAACTCTTAAGGGAAGGAAAAAATTATGTGTGCACGTTTACGTAGCGTGCATGTGAATACGCTATATGTGGTTTGGCCCAAATATAGACGCGTACGCATTTTTTTTTAGAGTAGGAAGGGCGATAAGAAGAGTATTCTAATTCAAGCTCTTGAAGCGGGCGGATCTGGCATTTAAATCATGTCGGACTCTCATCGCACATTGTACAAAAAGAGGGTCATAAAAGTTATATTTATGTGGACCGGCTATTAAAAACTTGAACTGCTTTTAAACCGCCCTACCCTTGCCTGCATATCTGTGTGGGTGCACGCAATACGAATACATAACACAGCTAAACCAAAAAATTATATATTCAAATCTTTGATTATACGTATCCTCCAAGATAATCACGCGCCACTGTTAATGTTGGGTTCCAATTTTGTCTCAACTTTTCACAGCTTGAATTTTTTTCTTTAAGTTCGTTCCAACCCGATGCGCACGATTGTCAATTAACTAATGTAAACGAGTACGAAGCAAAAACTTTATACTTGGAATCCTTTTCTCTGGAGTAGGTATACGAACCTTGGAATGCAAATAATAGGAGCGATAATCCATAAAAAAATGTCTCAGCCCTCACAAATAAGAAATATTTCCTATAATAAGGAGAATTAAACAAAAAAATATATATATGTAAATAAAATTTTCCTTGGGTTAGATAACGTAAGATCATCAAGTTATAATGACAATACACCACACAGGCTGTCTTGGAGATCTTTAACTAACAGTAAAATAAAGGTTCTGTTAAGGAAAAATGCCCTTTTATGTGGTATCTGAATATACCGTGTTCCATTTGAAATTCCAAGGTTGTGATTGGTTTGGAGTAGAACTGGACGTTTCGTTTGTTATAATATTTGTATAATATAAATTATAGTTTGTTATAGCCGAATACTAACGTGCGAAAACTTCAATTTTTAATTCTTCTTTAATACAAGCATTCTTTTTCTACTTTGTCTAATTTAAAACTATAGATTGAACTGAGCTGGTTTTTACTTGATGAAAATCAATTTAACAAGTTGAATTAGAATGATGTTCAGATTTTCAAGAATTATTTATTAGTGTGTGGTAGCTGTTTCGTTTGGTCTATATGATTTTGGGCATATTTACCACGGTTTTGTTCCTAAGGGGAAACAACAATGAAGATTGCTTTATCTGTGCTTTTTTTTTCAAGCGCAACAACAAGAACAAACAAGTAATTAACATTTAGAATAGATAACCGATTTCCTGGTTGGCTGATCCGATAAAAACCGACAAACTGTAAAAAGTATCTAGGACTTGTCGACTGCGACTAATTACGAGATATCGCAATTTATATTTCAAATTCACGGTGCCAGTGTGAGTTAATCGATTGTAAATGGGTAACTGATTTCCCGGTTTTATTTTTAAGCAACCGTCGAACCGCTATGAACTGAGTATCGAAGCACGCAAAATATGTGACCAACATTAATTCAATACAGGGTATTGCTTTTTTTATCGATAAGGTTGCCATAACGTTAAACTTGCGTGGTGTGAAAGTTGATCTTGATTAATTGATTTAGATAATCAAGAAAAAGGTAAAATTTTCGTTTGTTTGTACAGAGTATGCCGAGGGATAGTGAGCTACTTTTTTGTGAGAGAAAAATGACAATTGGTAGTTTTTATGTAGTCTGTTACAAAACAACATACCAATTTTAAGCTGAATTTTATACGGCAACGAGCGCAATCTTACAAAATTCAAAGAAGAATGCCCAACATTGGATGGTTTTAGTTAATTTTGTTATTGAGATTAATTGGGAATGATGTGGGTTTTCAAAAATGTAAGGTTATGTAAATGGTTATTTTAAAAAGCAGACTTACAATACAATGTTTTCAAAAAGGCCCAGATTCTCAAAAACGAAAGGCTAGAAAAATACCCCACAGCGAAGGCATCAATTTAATGATTTGATAATGACTCTTGGTAGTTTGGATTTTTGTGTTAAAATATATTGCTAATAAAAAGGAATATCTTTTAAAAATGTTAAATTTGTTACCGCCAAATGTTGTGAGTATATTTATTTTCAACGCCCAATATCGAAGCATCAATATTTTAAGTAACAGTATTTGGGAATAATTGGGTCTTTGAGGTGGGGATTAAAAATTGAACAATGTTGCAAACGGATACCTTGAGTGATAAAGATGCAATAAGCCCCGTAAAGTTTTTTATGGACTGAGAACAAGCTTTAAGATTAATAGGTAAATACTAATCAAAATTGAACTCAATTTCTTGCTTATTTCGGCTAACTTGGACAAAACGTAATTTCTAAGGGTTCGGTAGGCAACGTGAAAGTCTATTATAATGACTGGCCTATTTGTTTCGATAAAATAAACAAATTGATTGGGTGGCCATGGAAACAACCATTGTTACCAATATTTGCTTCAAAGTATGTGCATTTTTCCACGTATGTTTTAAAGTTTTAATATGTACCAATATTGACCGTGTGGTGAATTAAGTGTGCTTCTGTTTTTTTTTTGAATATATCAAATAAAAAAGTATAGAACTTTCTGAACTGTAACTCTCTGGATGCTCTGAAAAGTATTTCATGCTCAAGAACACAGCCAGGAGCTAAAAAGCAAAACTAAAGTACATTTTCCAAATTATTATCAAACATTGTCAGCAAAATTTATGCCCAAATGTCAATCATAACCTTCTAATAAAAATAAAAAACTAAATAACAATTTATCTAATATTTTACATAAGAAAATATTTGCACAGTGCAACTGACATTGAAGAAAATATTAATATTTTTTATTTTCACTCTAAAAACAAATTTCAGATTTGTTAAAAGTAAAAATCTCATTAGTCATATGGCACCACTGGTATTGTTATTTTTGGTTTTATGTTTATGTTATATGTCGTCACAACAAAAGAACAAAAAGAAATATTATTAGTAACATCGACATGCATCAAGGAATAACCACGACGCTTGAGTGATTTGGATACAGTTGGAACTGTTCATAATTACAATCAGCTTCAGGATCGTGCATTTAAAAAATCGCGAATAAATCTATTTTTCGTGTCAATTAAAATAAACGCGGATTTTAGCTTACCTTTTGAGTTTCCAACTGGAATCTCCTCGCCGCTAAATGTGGCACTTTTGGAGGCACGACGTACACTTTCCTACCTCCTGATCTATCGCCTTTACCAAGACTAGCGGATCTCAAAATCTTTACGTCGGTATTGTTTATCCTCACTACTCTGTACTCGTCATTTTTTTCGACCAATTTCGACCGAAAACTACCACCACAAAACATCGTCACAATTTCTACACTCGTTCGATCAGTTTCAGCAGGAAAAAAACAGCATCCCAATGAAACGGCGTCGAAAATTAGTATTAACAACGTTAGACCAGCGTGTCGATGGTACCAACAACGCTGTTAAACTGATTGCGTCTTGACCATGTTGTTGCGAAGCGGGTTACCTTTCGGAACACATTTTACCTGTGAATCGACAGTGGCGTGCGCGCTGACGTTCAAACATGACGAAAACGTATAACACGCATTAAGACAACATCTATCGCGAGTCGAATGCTTCTGGTTCGAAAGTAATGGGATAATAACCAAACCGTTACCGAAAATGTGTTTGTTCCGTGTAAATAAACGACATGGTTCCTCGGGCTACCGACGAAGGTGGAAGTTATTGAGTTCCTGTCAACTAATATCTTGGCAAGTCTGTCGCACGCTTCGATAAAACGTTGAAAATGGCACTACAAACAGGACAATTAATGGCCGTTGGCGTTGGTTTGGTCACCCAGTCTACCTTTATATTTAATTTCAGATTTTTTTAATTAGGTTTTTAAGAGTTTTTTTATTCAAAAAAATATAAATTTTGGGCGTTTTTGAAGTATTAACTAATTATCCATCAAAGAGGGCTATTTTGAGATCCAAATATTTATTACACCACATCTGCCTCAAACATTAACAACATTTGTAACACTTAATCAAAATTAAATTTGTAAAGGCACCTTCAACGGTTTACACTATATATCTAGTGAGGAATCGGCGCAAAAAGCATTGAAAGAAACTGCAAATAGAGATGAAATACGTGTAATATGTAAAACATAACATGTGGTTTAAAGATCCGCACTCCAAGACCGGATTTTCAACTCGAAATTCTAATCTAATAATTTCATATTGACAGACAGTTTCAAATTGGTTTCAGATTTAAACTGTTTTTCAAAGGTGGAATGTTTTCATCTTCATCTTCTTCATTTTCAAAGAGCATAAAAAATGCCACTTTTCATTCAATAAGAGTGGGAGATTTGACATTGATATATATCAGGGGTTTCCACTTAAAATTGAAGTTGAAATTCAATAAAAGTGGTCGATTTGGCAGGTGTTTGTTCGAAATTGTTGATAAATATATTGAATTGAATCTTTCCAATATTTCAGTAATACGTGTGGGTCTTTAAAACTTCGTTTCCCTAAAACTACTAATGACTAAAAAGTCTCAAGTAGTTAGGAACACAAAGCGGTAAAAAAAATCCAAATAGAAATTGGGAATATTTTAGCCTAAAATGCGTTAAAGGAATTATTAAATTTTGCAAACTTCGAGCTGGAAAACGTTCAACACAATATTTTATAAAAAAGAAAATATTTAGCAATCGGATGTTTTATAAAAATATTTAAAATGGTTTAAATTTCTGGTTTTGGTTGGTTTTTGTTTGTTTAGTATAAATGCGCTTCGCAAAAACTCCCTGTAGCAATTTCACAGACCCTACGTCTGGCGCAAGTTCATGGCATTTGCCATTTTGCAGAACTCTGATGACCATGAAGCGCACAATATGATGTTGCTCACACACACCTACTACAACTAACCAAACGCCATTTAAATAAAATATAGGTAAACAACTCGATAATTTTATTTTTTTGATATTTCTTCATATTCTTTAAAAATCTATTAAAAAACTTTAAAAATAGACAAATTGTTAAAACGTCACTTCCAATTAATACAACAACGAAAGGAAACGGGAGTCTTAAGAGGGCATTATTCAAACGAGTTTGTCGATTATTCACGGTCCGTCGACAGTTCAGGTGTTTGAATGTTAATAACAATCATACGCACGTACAAGTAAATAACAATTTAATGCAGGAAACCGCCTTTACAATTTGCCGATAGTTTTACCTGGATGACATTTTCGCTGTCGGGAATACTAATACAGTTTTTTATACTTAGGCTAGTACGACACGCGCCAGAAAATGCGCATTTTTTTTTTGTTGAGATCTTCGCACTGGTTGGCTATTTACTGGGATCTAGGCTGGTTTTGAGAAAATACTGCCAAAAAACTGAAAACTCTCGAAAATGGCTGCTCGTGCACATAGTAAGTATTCCTTCTCAACATTTTTATATATTTGTTACAAAAGTGCCTATATTAACAGCATAACTAAGGCCTCTATCCATGTAGTACCTATATATAGTACGATCGAAAGAAAAAACTTCTTCTTTTCTTTGTACTAAATATCTATTGTAGTCGCATCGAAAATTTCTTGCCTTTTTAGGGACGCATTTAATAGTTATTCGGGCCCGCTAAAAATAATATTGTTCCTTGTCAATCAAGAAACGGGAACACAATGAGATTTATTCAATCTTCGATATCCAACTGACCGATACCCGAGGCGTACTACTTTCTATAAGAGGCTCTTGTGGTACGCACTTCGGGTATATATAGGCGATCAATTTCCAATTATTGCGTCACCAGTGCCGCGGCGACTGGCGCCAGTGCGCTGATTGCGGGCTCCATATTTTAATCTCTTCTTGTGCTTCGGTCTGATGCGTGTTTGATCGCGAATGCTTTCATCGGCGCCCATATGAAAGGCACCAGGAAATGCACTCGATTGCCAATACGTTCCACTATCTACGTGTTTGCGTTATTAAATCTTGATTGAATTAAGTAAAAAGGTGTTTTCTACAACAATAGGTGGTAAACGTGTCAATCGCAGGTATTAGAAATTGTCACTAATTAAGTGTTGCTTTATATCTAGATTTTCCACTTATTGCTTCTTGTTTAATAGTTATTGAGCTTTTACTAGTACTGTCTTATTTTTCACTATTTTACATTTCTTGACTTTAACTTTTAACACCTGATACGTGGTACTATTTTCTTTTTAATTTACACTGAAGCGTCTAATATACACAGGATAGGACACTTTGAGCCTGCTGTATGTTGTCTATATCTCTGTCTAATATACTTCTACTTAGCGGACGGTGGCAGAATGCCTAACATGTTGTTATTTGATTGTAAAATATTTTCCTTAGGGGCTCGCCGAGGCTTTACATTATCTTGTTAAACAGGGTTTTTCTAAAACATGGAAGTATTATATACCCTGTATATTATTAAATTTTTAGTTTGTATGATCAAAATGAGAGTGGGTTTAATTAAGGTTTGTAAACCCAAGCCTGATGTTTTTTGAAGGTTTAACAATAGATTTGAATTTTAATTATCTATAGAGTGTTAGTATATTGTCATATATCATGCTCCTTACGTTTTCAAATTACTATGAACTCTTTCATTATGTAAACTGCTTTTACACAAGATATTATTCATCAAGTCACCCATAACTCTCATAACTCTATTTAGTAAAAATGTAAATTTATTCAAAAAAAGAATGTTAACATAATTTAGAAAAACTATTAGTGTTCAATAGCATTTTTTAATTGACCAGTCAATCGCATAATAATTTATTATAAAATACATATTATTATTAAATAATTATAGATAACACTCTACAATTGCAAGGTGTTATTTAATTTAAAACATTTTGACTAGTCAATTAAGAAGTGGTCAATTGGCCGTCAACTGACCAATACTAGTGTTCAGTATGAAAAACCAATAAAAGAAAACTTGTGACAGAAAAGGCTGAAACTGAATTTGAACCTTTAAATGGAATATATAGTTTTGTTTAGTTTTGTTTCAGAAAAAAACTGTTCGAAGACGATTGACGAGTTAAATTTTGATAGTGTGTATTAGAAAAGTTTGCAGAAAAATAAAGATTTTGCTATATTTAATAACGATGTGCATCTGTTGGCAATAGTACTGATAATCGACACAACTTTCACTATAATTCGGATTCCAATCAGTGAATGTGTGGGCACTAATAATGGGTCAATATTTAAATGACCCTTCCTTTTTCCAAGAACAGAGTGGCAGGTTGTTTTTACAACTTGTGATAGTTTTTAAGTCTGGACAAGTTACAACGCATTCCTTTAGACATAAGAGAAACGAAGTGGCTTCAAATGGTTCGGAGGTAATGGTTTCCAGGCTTAGTCTCAAAGATTACCCGACTTAACGCCATCGGATATTTTTTGGGGGGATAAGTTAAAGGGATGATTTATATTAAATCTCCGACAATGTCTTCCAACACGTAACCCAGCAAATGTTGCAAATGTTGTTGAAGGTTCTAGAAAAATGAAAAATGATTTGATATACAAAAATGGTTGTAATATTTTCACCATTTTTATATTTTTATTAATTTAATCTAGATAATTGATAATTTAATCTAGAAATTAAGCATTAATCTGGATACTACAGCGCAATCCATTAAAAAATCAATTCTGATACATTTTGCTTTTTGTGGAAGACCTTTAGCCATAAAGCTTCGTGTAAAATAACGTGAATAACCCTGTGTACACACTGTCAGTCGAATATGCCACTATGTGTGTTTAATAGTAAACCTCTTTAATTTTTTATATTATTTTATTTAATTAATTATTATTTTCTTATTATTCTTTACTACATTATCGATTTTCTATAATTTATTCTGTCAGGAATTTTCCACTTTTTTCGAAAATTTTCTTTATAACGAATAAGATTGGATCGTTTAATAAGAGCAGTAAATTATCACTTTCATCTGTCTGGAAAATGCCACCCTTATTTTATTAATTTTTTAAAAATTAATTAAAACTAATATAACATGCAACACACTTATTCGATATACGTTTTCCGGGAAAAATGACTAACGAAAATGTCCCGGAACAATGATCGATTTTGGCACACAGTTTGGTGCTTCTCGTCTGACGGTTTCCGATAAAACGAACATGAATCGAAGCTTTTATTTTTAGGCGGCGAGTTTTTTATTTTTAGCTTTTCACATGTGAACCGAATTCACGTGAAAAGGGAGATGCTTTCGGTGACAGCTTTGTTAAATGCAATTATTTTTTTAGTTTCCATTGTTTCCATCTGTTGCTAAATACTAACAAAAATCCAATGCGGTCAAATAACCGAACTCCCCCTTGCGCTCCTCGATTAATATTAACAGGAGCCGTCATAAATTTCAATTCAGGAAGCGGACAATTTAATTAAATTCTACAGATAGACGACGAAATAGGACTGGCACATTATCGAAAAGTTGCACGCGTTCGGGTC